CATTATTTCTGTTCATGAACCTTGCATATATTATTCCGCACATCATTTCTACTCCTGCATCGCCAAAACACCACATTTCAGTTTTACATACCTCGTTTATATTGTCGCAGTAATTTCTTGGTACTTTAATAGCTTTTGCTTGATTAATCCAATCCAGACACAACTTCCACAGTCCAAAATGTTCTTGCTTTATATCTTCGTCCCAGCTGATTTTTGATAAAGTTGCACGATGATACACGATCTTTAACTTTGAAGTAATAAATTGTATTAAGCCTAAAGGATCGAAGATTGACATTAGTAATTTAATGACATGTCTTAATGTTGGTATTTTAGTGCCATTTAAAATATCAAAAGGAATTTTGGACAAATTTAGGTCAACATAAATTTCATCTGTATGGAAATTTACATTATATCCAAGCAACTTTTCACAAGATTCATTAGTGAACAATTTTTCATTATTTATTTCATTTGGAGTAAGTGATGATTTAATCTTTGTAATAACTTGATTATCATTGCTGTTAATTTTTAATAAATTGAAACCACCTGTGGCTAAAACTCTTTTCATATCAACAGCTAATTTTATAGCATTTTCTGAATTATTTACAGACATTATGATATCGTCAACATAAGCATTTTTTATAATTGCTTGTGATGCTTCTTTGTAAGTTTCTAAATGATCTTTTGCAACAATGTTCTTTACAAATTGAGAAATTACAGGACTACATTTTGCTCCAAAAGGTAGCACATTCATTTTAAATATTCTTATATTTTCATTCGGAGAAAAACGAAACAAGAATCTCAAACAATTCGTATCATCATCATCTACTTTAATTTGGTGAAACATTTCACCTATATCACCTTTAATTAAGTAACGTCCCTGTCTCATTTTAAATAAGATTTCAAGCAGATTGTTGTATAAATTTGGTCCCGAAAAAAGATAATCATTCAAGCTTTTACCGTTTACTTTACAAGCTAGATCCCAAATCATTCTGGTTCTTTTATTAGGAGGATATATGAAGAAAATTGGGTTATAGTAAGCTTTATTATGAGGTTTACTAGCTTCTTCTTGACTCATTTCAGTGGCATATCCTTTTTCAACAAGATTTTTTATTTGATCATTACATTCATCGATCCTATTTTGTCTTATGGCTTCTTTTTCTACAATATGAAATCTTCTTATAGCAACTTTATAGGAATCGTTAGTAGGGAGAACAATTTTTTCGCTATTCCACAATAAAGGGGATACATAATGATTCTCATTAAGGTCTTTCTTGACTTTTGATTCAAGTAAATTTAATGCGGCTTCATCGTGTACAATAAGATGATCATCTTCTTTAGGCTTTCGATAATCACTTCCCATTACTTCTCTTTCCATTTCTTCAAGCTCATTTTGCTCTTCTGATGTCAAAACGCAATGAAAATTCGATTTATTTTCAATCTTTAGAAGTTTAGTATTGTTTAACTTGCTATATATCTTACTTAATGGATTTTCAGTGCCAAAAATGTAGTCTCCAAGTGGAGTTTTAACGCCTACATATTGACATTCATCATTACTAACAGCCCTAATGGATTCCAATTGTTCAAAGTAGACAGGATTATCTATTCCTATAATTCCAACAATATTAGAGTAATCTTGCAACTTAAATTTATCAAATTGAGGGAATCGAGTGTAAAATTCATTGGCCACGAACTTTTGGGGACAAATTTGTAGATTTTTCACAGTTCTAAAATATGAGAATATACTTTCATCTTTATTATGTGGATTTGAGACATTAATTTTGACAATTCGTGAAGCATGGTCATTTCTTTGCTGATTTCCTGACCATGTCAATGTAAGCGGTAGCCAAGGACCTACTAATTTCAATTTATTTGCTACACTTTCTTCGATTAAAGAAACTGTACTTCCTGAATCTATTAGAAGTGCACATTTTTCTTTGTTTTCTAAAGTAAGGACTAACACGCTTAGAATTGATTTCTCACTTTTCTTCATAACATTGTGCTGAACTTTGTCATTCTTATAGTTGGTGACTATATGATTGGTTCTGTGAGCATTATTATATTGACTTAAGTAGTTTCTCAAGTCTTGTGGAATATTAGAATAATATGCATGGTTCGTCAGATCTTCAATTAAACTTTCTACGTCATTATTGACATTATTATTATTTCTACTGGCATTATCATCTACATTGGCATTGTTTGAAGGGTTTGTGGGATTGTTTCTTCTATTATTAGGACTTGATGTTTGATTACTTTTGACTTTCCTTTTGAAACAAAACAAAGAATGATGTAAATGATCACATCCTTCGATTTTGCACTTTAAATTTGCGCTGTAGGGACATGGATTGTGTTGAGACTGGCCACAATATGTACAAATTTTAGCTTTTTTGGCTAAGTCGGAAACAGACTTACCATCTAACTTCCACAAAGCAGAACATCTGTTGCCTGGATGCTCTTTATTCTTGTGGAACCAACAAAAACTTGTCTTAGGATGATAATTATAAGATGTTTCATTTGCTTTAGGATTATTTCCTTTAATAAAGGAATTTTTCGAATCAGTTTTTATGTGATTATTTCTTTGTCTTCTGTCATGATCTTTGTGAGAGGATTTAACATCTGACTTTTTATCAGTACTTATAAGCTTGTCGTTTCTAATGCTAGCTTCCAATCGTGGCAATTCTCTTTCAAGAACCTCAATGAAATGTTTTATGGACGGAATAATTCGACTATCTTCCAAATCTGCTTGCTTCGTTTCCCATTTATTACGAATGAACATAGGTAGAACGTCGGACAAATTTGCTAAAAATCTTTTATTAGTGGAATAAGACAAATCACGATATGCTTCAGCTAAAGTAGAGAAATTTCTTACTCTATCAATATAGTCTACCAACTTTTGCTTGTTTTCAGCTTTAATTCTTCCATGACTTTCCAGAGATGTAGCTTCTGTATTCAAGAAATTATAGCTATGTTTCAGACGCTTATTGACATCTTCGACACATTTTAAATATGTCTTCGGATTGAACAGACCTTTTCCACCAATTCTTTTGACAGTTTCGTCTTTAATTGCTGCTTGTAACCGTATGACATTCTCATCAGCATCAAATAAGCTCTTTGTGCGAATGAACGCACTATAAAAAACCGACCAAGACAAATCAGAATCGACTACGACAGGCAATTTATTGTATTGTAACTTCACAATGTAGTATTCCAGCTCATTATTTGCATTGGAATTGGACAAAGTAGCATTAGGATAAGCAAAAGTCTTATTTTTTGAGAAATTGTTGTTAAATTCTCTCTTTTGAATTTTACTTGTTGTTATGGAAGTTTCTTCCTCTTCTTCTGGATTATGGAATCGATTGTTCGCCTCAATATCATCGGGTGATGATTGAAAATTATTACAATTATTGATTTTTGGAGTTTTATTTACATTCATGCTTAAATTGTGTAACACTTTCATACATTCATGGCAAACATACGATTCAGTTTGGCTATCAGACGTTGGATCTTCATCGTCTCTCAAACATATAGGGTGACAAACTTTCTTACATCCTTTACACACAAATGCATGTCTTTTTGCATCCTTCTTGCACACATAACAACATTTAGTAGGTAAAGATGAAGTTCCACTAAACGATGGAGCACTTAATTGATTATGGATGTTATTAGGGACATAATGAGAAGAGGATTCAGCATTTTTACTAAATTTTGAAGGTTGAGGACAAATTGTGTTATTAGTTTGAGAAGTTTCAAAGTTATTACTAAAGGCAGTAGATCTAATGATCTGAGATTGATCAAATTCATGAAAAGTATCATCTTCACTATTGATTATTATGTTGGAAAACTCTTTGGTTATATTCTGGTTGTTTTCTTCCTGCTGTATCTCTTCAGTTTCATCAGCTGGATCTTCTGTTTCACTACTTTCACCATTTAAATTATTTATTGGCGTTCGTGGGATAGTCATTTCCCTTGTTACATAAATATCAGACAAATACGAAACATTTAAAGCGACAGCATGTAATTTACAATAAAAGTTTTGATTATCACTTGATTTACTGGATCTTTTTGACTTACAATATTCGTGAACCCAATATTTGCAACTTCTTTGAACGCATTGGATCTTCTTATCATAAATAGAAGCTTTCTTATTGCAGTAACTGCAATTTCTCATTAATTATTCTTGAAAGAATTCTTATTTTTTCACACAATGCCAAAATTCAAGGTTAAATTCACAATAATTTTTCTCAAAAAGAGATTAAATTTTCTCAAAAAGAGTTTAAATTTCTCCAAAAAGAGATTAAAATGTCATAATTTTTTTAAAGCTTTTATTTAACATTCGAGATTAATAAAGACGTATATAGATTTTCTTGTATTTCATTGATTTATATGTTTTATTTTAATTTTTATTGGACTTATCATGCGTTGTCCATTTTTTGTATTTTAATTTTCACTCTTTTTAATCCTTTTGATACAATAAATTAATTTCATATTTTCTTAATTAAATGACTTTAAACTTACTCTTTTTCCTTTTTGTACGTTTTTCAGCTCTTTAACTAATTAATCTTTTTTATTTCAACTTCTCTTTATCTGACTTCCTTCACTTGTTCTTTTTAACTCTCTGACTTTTTGTACTAATTCTGACTGTTCTAAAACTATTTTATAGCAACTAATATAATTCAATTTTCAAAGGAACGTTATTTTGAATTATTAAATAACGAGATTTTTAATCTTCATTTGACTTAATTCATTTTTATAAACAAATAAGAATTTGTTTAACAGAACTTGAATTTGACTTGTTTTGCACTTAATCTGAATTAAGAACTAGATTTTGACTTATTCCACACTTATTACGCACTTAGAACTTGAATTTGACTTGTTCTGCTCTTAATCTGAATTAAGAACTTGATTTTGACTTATTCCACACTTATTACGCACTAAGAACTTGAATTTGACTTGTTCTGCACTTAATCTGAATTAAGAACTAGATTTTGACTTATTCCACACTTATTACGCACTAAGAACTTGAATTTGACTTGTTTTGCACTTAATCTGAATTAAGAACTAGATTTTGACTTATTCCACACTTATTACGCACTAAGAACTTGAATTTGACTTATTCTGCACTTAATCTGAATTAAAAACTAGATTTTGACTTATTCCACACTTATTCCGCACTAAGAACTTGAATTTGACTTGTTCTGCACTTAATCTGAATTAAGAACTAGATTTTGACTTATTCCACACTTATTACGCACTAAGAACTTGAATTTGACTTGTTCTGCACTTAATCTGAATTAAGAACTAGATTTTGACTTATTCCACACTTATTACTCACTAAGAACTTGAATTTGACTTGTTTTGCACTTAATCTGAATTAAGAACTAGATTTTGACTTATTCCACACTTATTACGCACTAAGAACTTGAATTTGACTTATTCTGCACTTAATCTGAATTAAAAACTAGATTTTGACTTATTCCACACTAATTACGCACTAAGAACTTGAATTTGACTTGTTCTGCACTTAATCTGAATTAAGAACTAGATTTTGACTTATTCCACACTTATTACGCACTTAGAACTTTAATTTGACTTGTTCTGCTCTTAATCTGAATTAAGAACTTGATTTTGACTTATTCCACACTTATTACGCACTAAGAACTTGAATTTGACTTGTTCTGCACTTAATCTGAATTAAGAACTAGATTTTGACTTATTCCACACTTATTACGCACTAAGAACTTGAATTTGACTTGCTCTGCACTTAATCTGAATTAAGAACTAGATTTTGACTTATTCCACACTTATTACGCACTTAGAACTTTAATTTGTCTTGTTCTGCTCTTAATCTGAATTAAGAACTTGATTTTGACTTATTCCACACTTATTACGCACTAAGAACTTGAATTTGACTTGTTTTGCACTTAATCTGAATTAAGAACTAGATTTTGACTTATTCCACACTTATTACGCACTAAGAACTTGAATTTGACTTATTCTGCACTTAATCTGAATTAAAAACTAGATTTTGACTTATTCCACACTTATTACGCACTAAGAACTTGAATTTGACTTGTTCTGCACTTAATCTGAATTAAAAACTAGATTTTGACTTATTCCACACTTATTACGCACTAAGAACTTGAATTTGACTTGTTCTGCACTTAATCTGAATTAAGAACTAGATTTTGACTTATTCCACACTTATTACGCACTTAGAACTTTAATTTGACTTGTTCTGCACTTAATCTGAATTGAGAACTAGATTTTGACTTATTCCACACTTATTACGCACTAAGAACTTGAATTTGACTTATTCTGCACTTAATCTGAATCAAGAACTTGATTTTGACTTATTCCACACTTATTACGCACTAAGAACTTGAATTTGACTTGTTCTGCACTTAATCTGAATTAAGAACTTGATTTTGACTTATTCCACACTTATTCCACACTAAGAACTTGAATTTGACTTATTCTGCACTTAATCTGAATTAAGAACTAGATTTTGACTTATTCCACACTTATTACGCACTAAGAACTTGAATTTGACTTATTCTGCACTTAATCTGAATTAAAAACTAGATTTTGACTTATTCCACACTTTTTACGCACTAAGAACTTGAATTTGACTTGTTTTGCACTTAATCTGAATTAAGAACTAGATTTTGACTTATTCCACACTTTTTACGCACTAAGAACTTGAATTTGACTTGTTTTGCACTTAATCTGAATTAAGAACTAGATTTTGACTTATTCCACACTAATTACGCACTAAGAACTTGAATTTGACTTGTTTTGCGCTTAATCTGAATTAAGAACTAGATTTTGACTTATTCCACACTTATTACGCACTAAGAACTTGAATTTGACTTGTTTTGCACTTAATCTGAATTAAGAACTAGATTTTGACTTATTCCACACTTATTACGCACTAAGAACTTGAATTTGACTTATTCTGCACTTAATCTGAATTAAAAACTAGATTTTGACTTATTCCACACTTATTACGCACTAAGAACTTGAATTTGACTTGTTCTGCACTTAATCTGAATTAAGAACTAGATTTTGACTTATTCCACACTTATTACGCACTTAGAACTTTAATTTGACTTGTTCTGCTCTTAATCTGAATTAAGAACTTGATTTTGACTTATTCCACACTTATTCCGCACTAAGAACTTGAATTTGACTTGTTTTGCACTTAATCTGAATTAAGAACTAGATTTTGACTTATTCCACACTTATTACGCACTAAGAACTTGAATTTGACTTATTCTGCACTTAATCTGAATTAAGAACTTGATTTTGACTTATTCCACACTTATTACGCACTAAGAACTTGAATTTGACTTATTCTGCACTTAATCTGAATTAAGAACTAGATTTTGACTTATTCCACACTAATTACGCACTAAGAACTTGAATTTGACTTGTTTTGCACTTAATCTGAATTAAGAACTAGATTTTGACTTATTCCACACTTATTACGCACTAAGAACTTGAATTTGACTTGTTTTGCACTTAATCTGAATTAAGAACTAGATTTTGACTTATTCCACACTAATTACGCACTAAGAACTTGAATTTGACTTGTTTTGCACTTAATCTGAATTAAGAACTAGATTTTGACTTATTCCACACTTATTACGCACTAAGAACTTGAATTTGACTTGTTCTGCACTTAATCTGAATTAAGAACTAGATTTTGACTTATTCCACACTTATTACGCACTAAGAACTTGAATTTGACTTGTTCTGCACTTAATCTGAATTAAGAACTTGATTTTGACTTATTCCACACTTATTACGCACTAAGAACTTGAATTTGACTTGTTCTGCACTTAATCTGAATTAAGAACTTGATTTTGACTTATTCCACACTTATTACGCACTAAGAACTTGAATTTGACTTGTTCTGCACTTAATCTGAATTAATAACTAGATTTTGACTTATTCCACACTTATTACGCACTAAGAACTTGAATTTGACTTGTTCTGCACTTAATCTGAATTAAGAACTTGATTTTGACTTATTCCACACTTATTACGCACTAAGAACTTGAATTTGACTTGTTTTGCACTTAATCTGAATTAAGAACTTGATTTTGACTTATTCCACACTTATTACGCACTAAGAACTTGAATTTGACTTGTTCTGCACTTAATCTGAATTAAGAACTTGATTTTGACTTATTCCACACTTATTACGCACTAAGAACTTGAATTTGACTTGTTTTGCACTTAATCTGAATTAAGAACTTGATTTTGACTTATTCCACACTTATTACGCACTAAGAACTTGAATTTGACTTGTTTTGCACTTAATCTGAATTAAGAACTTGATTTTGACTTATTCCACACTTATTACGCACTAAGAACTTGAATTTGACTTGTTCTGCACTTAATCTGAATTAAGAACTTGATTTTGACTTATTCCACACTAATTACGCACTAAGAACTTGAATTTGACTTGTTTTGCACTTAATCTGAATTAAGAACTAGATTTTGACTTATTCCACACTTATTACGCACTAAGAACTTGAATTTGACTTGTTTTGCACTTAATCTGAATTAAGAACTAGATTTTGACTTATTCCACACTTATTACGCACTAAGAACTTGAATTTGACTTGTTTTGCACTTAATCTGAATTAAGAACTAGATTTTGACTTATTCCACACTAATTACGCACTAAGAACTTGAATTTGACTTGTTTTGCACTTAATCTGAATTAAGAACTAGATTTTGACTTATTCCACACTTATTCCACACTAAGAACTTGAATTTGACTTATTCTGCACTTAATCTGAATTAAGAACTAGATTTTGACTTATTCCACACTTATTACGCACTAAGAACTTGAATTTGACTTGTTATTATTATTATTATTACTATTACTACGTTTTTCTTAACTTGCTTTCTTGTTTGTTTGTTTGTTTGTTTGTTTGTTTGTTTGTTTGTTTGCAAAAAATTTCAAATCTTGCGATCAATTTTTCGACCACTTCTACTGCTCCAATCGAGCTCAAATTTTTAATGCACATGTATTCCCGGTGACAATACAATATTTTAACACTTTGGAAACACAAAAATGCTTAATTATAGTACAATTTATGTAAAACTTTTTTATATGGGAAAAAATCCAATGTCAATGATATAAAATTTTGATTTGTATTAAATATTATACTTGTGATGCTCTGAAGTCATTTATATGATTCATTATAGTTTAATTAATATTACTAATTATTAATTATACCATAAATTTGAGCAGCTAAAGATATTCTGGTAAGACAAAAAAATTGACATGTAATTTTTTCATGAATATTCGTAAGTGAAAATTTGAATTTTCAAAAAAACCGTTAAGCACAAGTCCGTTACGAATTAATGCAAAATAACTATTAATATGCGATGTGCATTTAGCACACATAGTTTGAGCATAAATTTATGCTGTTTTAAATGTATTGCATTATTTATAACACTTCACCAACTTAATTAAATTGACTTTTCTTTTTATTAACGGTTTGACGTATTTTTGCATCATTGAATTTAAATTTGAAAATCCGTTATAAATACGTTACATATAGATTTGATTTGCATCTTTATGTTAAGAATCCACACGTTATGTAGTAGGAATGGTTCGGATAAACACAAAATCTTTACGAGTGATTTTTAATGTACTTTACTAATGAATGCTTTAAAAAAATTAAATTTTATAAAACGAATGAAAAATTTTGAAAGTCGTTACTAATTTCCCATTAAAAACTGGAAATTTATAAACAGTTGAACGCAACGAAGTGAAGTTCAACACACCTGTAACCTATAAACCTACTGTGATCTATAAACAGTTGAACGTAACGAAGTGCAACGAAGTGAAGTTCAACACACCTGTAACCTATAAACCTACTCTAATCTATAAACAGTTGAACGTAACGAAGTGCAACGAAGTGGAGTTCAACACACCTGTAACCTATGAACCTACTGTAATCTATAAACAGTTGAACGTAACGAAGTGCAACGAAGTGAAGTTCAACACACCTGTAACCTATAAACCTACTGTAATCTATAAACAGTTGAACGTAACGAAGTGCAACGAAGTGAAGTTCAACACACCTGTAACCTATAAACCTACTGTAATCTATAAACAGTTGAACGTAACGAAGTGCAGCGAAGTGAAGTTCAACACACCTGTAACCTATAAACCTAATGTAATCTATAAACAGTTGAACGTAACGAAGTGCAACGAAGTGAAGTTCAACACACCTGTAACCTATAAACCTACTGTGATCTATAAACAGTTGAACGTAACGAAGTGCAACGAAGTGAAGTTCAACACACCTGTAACCTATAAACCTCCTGTGATCTATAAACAGTTGAACGTAACGAAGTGCAACGAAGTGAAGTTCAACACACCTGTAACCTATAAACCTAATGTAATCTATAAACAGTTGAACGTAACGAAGCGCAACGAAGTGGAGTTCAACACACCTGTAACCTATGAACCTACTGTAATCTATAAACAGTTGAACGTAACGAAGTGCAACGAAGTGAAGTTCAACACACCTGTAACCTATAAACCTACTGTAATCTATAAACAGTTGAACGTAACGAAGTGCAACGAAGTGAAGTTCAACACACCTGTAACCTATAAACCTCCTGTGATCTATAAACAGTTGAACGTAACGAAGTGCAACGAAGTTAAGTTCAACACACCTGTAACCTATAAACCTACTCTAATCTATAAACAGTTGAACGTAACGAAGTGGAGTTCAACACACCTGTAACCTATAAACCCCCTATAATCTTTATTTCTCTATTTCATTAGAATAAGACTAAAAAGTAGAAAATAAAATACTTTATAAAAAAAAACTTTTTAAAAAACTACGTTTTTCGCGTAGACTAAAAAGTAGAAAATAACTTTTATTCTTGGTTGTAAAGAATTTGGTTTTAAATTTTCAGATTATATTTAATAAATTTTTATATCCTAGTCAATATTGTTCACAAAGTTTCGAATAAGTGCACTTTGATCTTATCGTATAACTCAACAACTTAAAAACGTGGGCGCATTAATTTAAGTTTATCATAAAGTATTGATTTCACATAAACTTATTTCTCCTCTTATAATGCGCCCACGTTTTTAAGTTGTTGAGTTATACGATAAGATCAAAGTGCACTTATTCGAAACTTTGTGAACAATATTGACTAGGATATAAAAATTTATTAAATATAATCTGAAAATTTAAAACCAAATTCTTTACAACCAAGAATAAAAGTTATTTTCTACTTTTTAGTCTACGCGAAAAACGTAGTTTTTTAAAAAGTTTTTTTTTATAAAGTATTTTTTTTGCACTTAATCTGAATTAAGAACTAGATTTTGACTTATTCCACACTTATTACGCACTTAGAACTTGAATTTGACTTATTCTGCACTTAATCTGAATTAAGAACTAGATTTTGACTTATTCCACACTTATTACGCACTAAGAACTTGAATTTGACTTATTCTGCACTTAATCTGAATTAAGAACTAGATTTTGACTTATTCCACACTTATTACGCACTAAGAACTTGAATTTGACTTATTCTGCACTTAATCTGAATTAAGAACTAGATTTTGACTTATTCCACACTTATTACGCACTAAGAACTTGAATTTGACTTATTCTGCACTTAATCTGAATTAAGAACTAGATTTTGACTTATTCCACACTTATTACGCACTAAGAACTTGAATTTGACTTATTCTGCACTTAATCTGAATTAAGAACTAGATTTTGACTTATTCCACACTTATTACGCACTAAGAACTTGAATTTGACTTGTTCTGCACTTAATCTGAATTAAGAACTAGATTTTGACTTATTCCACACTTATTACGCACTAAGAACTTGAATTTGACTTGTTCTGCACTTAATCTGAATTAAGAACTAGATTTTGACTTATTCCACACTTATTCCGCACTAAGAACTTGAATTTGACTTGTTTTGCACTTAATCTGAATTAAGAACTAGATTTTGACTTATTCCACACTTATTACGCACTAAGAACTTGAATTTGACTTGTCCTGCTCTTAATCTGAATTAAGAACTTGATTTTGACTTATTCCACACTTATTACGCACTAAGAACTTGAATTTGACTTGTTCTGCACTTAATCTGAATTAAGAACTAGATTTTGACTTATTCCACACTTATTACGCACTAAGAACTTGAATTTGACTTGTTCTGCACTTAATCTGAATTAAGAACTAGATTTTGACTTATTCCACACTTATTCCGCACTAAGAACTTGAATTTGACTTGTTTTGCACTTAATCTGAATTAAGAACTAGATTTTGACTTATTCCACACTTATTACGGACTAAGAACTTGAATTTGACTTATTCTGCACTTAATCTGAATCAAGAACTTGATTTTGACTTATTCCACACTTATTACGCACTAAGAACTTGAATTTGACTTGTTCTGCACTTAATCTGAATTAAGAACTTGATTTTGACTTATTCCACACTTATTACGCACTAAGAACTTGAATTTGACTTATTCTGCACTTAATCTGAATTAAGAACTAGATTTTGACTTATTCCACACTTATTACGCACTAAGAACTTGAATTTGACTTATTCTGCACTTAATCTGAATTAAGAACTAGATTTTGACTTATTCCACACTAATTACGCACTAAGAACTTGAATTTGACTTGTTTTGCACTTAATCTGAATTAAGAACTAGATTTTGACTTATTCCACACTTATTACGCACTTAGAACTTGAATTTGACTTGTTCTGCACTTAATCTGAATTAAGAACTAGATTTTGACTTATTCCACACTTATTACGCACTAAGAACTTGAATTTGACTTATTCTGCACTTAATCTGAATTAAGAACTAGATTTTGACTTATTCCACACTTATTACGCACTAAGAACTTGAATTTGACTTGTTCTGCACTTAATCTGAATTAAGAACTAGATTTTGACTTATTCCACACTTATTACGCACTAAGAACTTGAATTTGACTTGTTCTGCACTTAATCTGAATTAAGAACTAGATTTTGACTTATTCCACACTTATTCCGCACTAAGAACTTGAATTTGACTTGTTTTGCACTTAATCTGAATTAAGAACTAGATTTTGACTTATTCCACACTTATTACGCACTAAGAACTTGAATTTGACTTGTCCTGCTCTTAATCTGAATTAAGAACTTGATTTTGACTTATTCCACACTTATTACGCACTAAGAACTTGAATTTGACTTGTTCTGCACTTAATCTGAATTAAGAACTAGATTTTGACTTATTCCACACTTATTACGCACTAAGAACTTGAATTTGACTTGTTCTGCACTTAATCTGAATTAAGAACTAGATTTTGACTTATTCCACACTTATTCCGCACTAAGAACTTGAATTTGACTTGTTTTGCACTTAATCTGAATTAAGAACTAGATTTTGACTTATTCCACACTTATTACGGACTAAGAACTTGAATTTGACTTATTCTGCACTTAATCTGAATCAAGAACTTGATTTTGACTTATTCCACACTTATTACGCACTAAGAACTTGAATTTGACTTGTTCTGCACTTAATCTGAATTAAGAACTTGATTTTGACTTATTCCACACTTATTCCACACTAAGAACTTGAATTTGACTTATTCTGCACTTAATCTGAATTAAGAACTAGATTTTGACTTATTCCACACTTATTACGCACTAAGAACTTGAATTTGACTTATTCTGCACTTAATCTGAATTAAGAACTAGATTTTGACTTATTCCACACTTATTGTCATTTAGTTTTTTGCTAAATTCGAGATTTATAAAGACTTATTTTTTTTTAATCATTGATTTAATTAATAATTAGAGATTTTCTCTTCATTTTATTTTTTTTTAATATTGAGTTATCTAATATAAATTTTTCATTCTTAATGTGCTTAAATGTGTCTTAAACGTGTCTTTTTAATCCTGCATGTATCATCATAATATTATTATAAATTTGTTTCTTATATTTTCTTACTTACTCTTTTCTGTTAAATGACCAATTTACTTTTTAATTCACTCTGTTCTTTTGTTTAATTAATTATTTTTCAGCTTCACTTCACGTGACTAATATTTTGTTATAATCCAAATAGGGCAATCAACTTTTAATTTTCATTACTTGCTATAAAATTTGTTTAATTTTGAATCTCTACAATTATCAACGTAATTTCAAAGCTACAATTATCGTTATTTGTTCTGATTTAATTCCTTTCATTTTTGTGATTAATTAATAAATTGAATATTAAAATTAAATAGAATGTTTAATTTTAAACATTCTGAGCCGACCAAAAATTTATATGTGAAATGGATATAAAGAGTTTCTCAACGGTGCTAATCCTTGAATTAAAGGATAATTGATCTCGCGATTTTGATATTGCCATGCTAACATTTGCATGTTTCGTTCAAATGCACTCATATTGGCGTTCAACATCAAATTAGGAATTTGCTTATTAATATCTAAATTTTTCGCTTCTAATCTATTCTGATTATTTTCTACCACTTCTAATTTGTGGGAAAGTTCATTCATCTTATCCTGTAAATCTTTGTGAGATTTATCTTCGTTACATAATTCTTTTTCGGGTGTTTTTACAATTTTCCTTTTTAAGTTATTTCTCTTGACTACATGATTTTGCATTTGAATTTCTAAATTTCTGTTTTCATTTACAGCATGATTATACTTAGCGAGAGTCAAATATGTGTATGAATATTTTACATTGTAAAAACTCTTACTCATGTCTTTTGCAAATTTTTCACTTTCTTTTAAATCTTTAAACATTAAGAAAGCGTTTAAACCTTTAAAGCTCATATAAATTAATTTACTTAATTTGGTTTGATTAAGTATATTGATAATGTCATTAAAACTATCTTTTCTAAAGAACTTTAACAACAGAACTTTAGTTTTTTCATTATAAGCTTCCTTCTTTGTTGATGACATCATGAATCGTTCCTTGAAATTGTTCATTGCCTCCATTAAAATGGTCACGCCATTTATTGAGATACTATAAATGTTCTTGTCTCGAGTTTTCGTTCCAGCATTTAACAGCTGATGTAACATTGAGCTGTGATGAAAGCTTAGTCTAATGTGCATTCTTTTGTTTCTCAGATGTTCTAAATGTATGAGTTTGATCGCCTCCATGTCCTTTTCACTCCATCTTATAGATTTCATCAATCCATTAGTAAAGTCTTTCACGCTCCAGCTGTCAGGTACAGAAATAAATCGAACATGACTCATCTATAAGGATAAGAAGTGTAATAAATTTAAATATATTAATTAATTGTTTATTTTTGATTATAGTGAGATTCCATTCTTCCAGAATCAAACTTTTTTATGTATTGAAGTCAATTTTGACTTTTTTAAGTAACTTTTTTGTTGCTTATTATGGCTTAGTTTAGTCCTTGAGTGTTTTACATCTTTATGAAGTTGTTTTACATTCTCATTATTGGAGCAATTAAATGATTTGTTATCATTTTTCACGAATAAGCATGAAATATTTTCTTTCATTAATTTTTTACATGTCTATTGCTTTTCTTCACATTTATTCACTATATATCTACCTTATGTCTCTTATTGTTGCTTTTAAATTATTAGATGTATAATTTAAATGCCTTTAAAGCACTTAAATATTAATTATTTTGTTTGTCTATTTTTTTATTCATTGTTTACTTTTGAATTAAAGCGTAGCTTTTCCAAGCGTCAACTTTTTGAATTTTGAACTTCAACGGTTTTTTATGAAAATTCAAATTATTTTTAACGGTTTTTTGAGTTTAATTTTTGCGATGATCGTTTCATCAAATTTTTATCGTCACGTCACGTGACAGTTTTAACTGGTTTTAACGGTTTTTTTTTTCCGTTTAATTTGATTGATTTAATTTTAATTACTGATGTTTGTCAGCTATTTATTAAGTGCAATTTAATGCATATTTAATTTATGCTTTTTTTTTTTTTTGATTATCTGAGTGTTTTTAAAGTATTTCAAATTAATGTAAAAGCAACAAAAAAGGAATTTTATAATGTAGATTTTAGTTTTCAATGTATAATTATATTTTTTCTTTTGAATTTTCTTGGCTGAATCATAACTTCTCTGACTTGTTTCGACGTTGATTTTAGGGCGTTGTCGTCAACTAATTCCTCTTTCATCTTGGTTCCTGGAATGAACGAAATTAGTTTGGAAAACTCGTGATTAGTACGATTGCTTGTGTTATTTGATTCTTTCTTTCTATGTCGTTTTGAGTCAGAATAATGCATGTTTTTATGCTTTGTTTTATGAACCTTTGTTTTATTTATATAAGGATTACTAAGAAAATATTTTATTTTCTTCTTTCGTGATTTATACGTGACTTTACGTGTCAATTTCCTTAGTCTTAATTTTGTGTTTAATGATTTTTTTATGCATTTAGTGACATGATCGTAGTATTGAATTTTATTATTGCTGATTTTATCATTTGTGTCATGCTTAACATCTAAATTAAGCTGATTTAATGACCATTCTGTAGTAAATTTAGTAGAACGAGTTTCATTTTGCTTGCAATTATGCAAAATGTTATGAGACTCTGAATTGATCTCAATGTAATCGAATTTATCATTTAAATTTACAAATTCTTCTACTGACGTTTGTGTTGATGCATCATTATATGTTTTCACATTTTTTTCAATAAAGGATGTTTGACGTCCTGTGTCTATTTTAGATTTGTTAATTTTTAATTCAACTGGTGCAAAGTTGCTGATATCTGAAATTATGTGAGAATTTCTTTGGTAATTTTTATTTTTGATAAGATGATCTTTTAATTCTTGAGGGACATTAGTATAAAATTGATTATTAATTAAATTATCAACAATTTCATAGTTCAAATTTTCTTCATTATTGTAACAGTTGTTAGTATTTAGATTTTTCGTTGTCATTTTTTCTTCATCTTCGCTAGAAGTATCCTCCAACATCAGAAAAGGAATTTTATTATTATTTTGGTAATTATTTGCATTTGTTTGAGAACCTGGGACTTTTCTTTTATAACAAAATAGCGAATGATGCAATTTATCGCAACCAGTTATTCTACACTTTAAATTAGTGTTATATGTACATGGATTATGTTGTGTCTGACCACAACAAGTACAAATTTTAGCATTTTTTGCTAATTCTGATACAATTTTTCCGTCTAATTTCCAAAGATCTTTACATCTATTTCCTGAATGACCATTTTGTTTGTGAAACCAACAATAAACCGTTTTAGTAGAATTATTAGAAAGATTTTCTTTCGAGGCAAGTGTATTTTCATCCGCTATAAACGGATTTTCACCTTCTTCTTTTGAGTAATAAGATCTATGACTTTTGTCGTTAGACTTTTGATGTTTTGAATTATGAATAATGTCTGATCTTTTATCAGCAGTTAAAAGCTCGTCATTTCTAATGCTGGCTTCTATTCTTGGTAGTTCTTTTTCGAAAATTTCGATTAAATGTTTTAACGTTGGCACTATATTAATTTCCTCTAATTCTGCTTGTTTAGATTCCCATTTATTTCGAATAAATGTAGGCACAACATTTATTATGTTGGCTAAAAATCGTCTGTTACTAGAATATGAAAAATCTTTATAGGCAATAGCTAAAGTTGCGAAATTTCTGACTTGATCTATGTATTCAACTAATTTTAACTTATTTTCAGCTTTAATTCTTCCATGCTTTTCAAGTAATGCAGCTTCTTTAGATAGGAAATTAATATTATGCTTTAATCTTTTATTAACGTCTTCAATACATTTGTCATAAGTCTTTGGGTTGAATAAACCTTTACCTCCGATTCGTTTAACAGTCTCATCTTTTATTGCAGCTTGTATTCTGATGACATTCTCATCTGGGTCGAATAATCCTTTTGTACGAACAAAGGAACTGTAGAATACAGTCCACGACAGATCAGAATCAGTGACTATAGGGAGTTTTTGGTACTGAAGCTTAATAAAATAAATCTCCAGTTCACTATTTCCCAAAGAATTATTATTAAATGAGATTTTCTCATTAACGTTTTGATTTCTAGAACAATTATTGTGCTGAATATCTTTTCTATCATAATTTTTATTGGAAGCAACATCTGGATAACAATCATGATGAAATTTAGTGTGATTGTAGTTATTATTGCTGGATGTGGGTGGACAATTATTTAAATTATTTATTTTTGGACTTTTACGACAAGAACTATTTATATTTTGCATGATTTTCATACATTTGAGACATAAATAAGAGTCTGTTTGACTATCAGCTTCTTCTTCCTCTTCGTCTAGTAAACAAATAGGATGACATACTTTATTGCATCCATAACATACAAATCCATGCCGGCTGGCATCTTTTTTACAGACATTACAAGTTTTTATAGGTTTTTTTGGTGTATTATTAAATAAACTAGCAGCTTTTCTGCCGGAACTTAATAAATTTGGAACTACAGACGAATTATTTACAATATTTTTTATTGTGTTAGAGTTTTGTGGATTGTTGTTATTGTTAATTATACGAGATTCACTATTTTGGTCAAAAGAAGTGGATCTTATAATTTGAGATTGATCGAAATCGTGAAAAGAATCTTCCTCGATATCGCCAGCAATATTATCATGACTATTAGGACTAATCAAAGTGTTTTCTAAATTTTGCTGGATCTCATATTCTGGATCTTCAAGAATCTCTACTTCTCTTTGTTCATTATTGTTATCATTATTCACAGGCGTACGAGGTAATGCCATGTTTTCATTACTCTCATCTGACTCAACATATATATTAATTAACTTTAAATGTAACTTACAAGTCCAATTGAAATTTTCTTCATGTGTTCTGGATCTTTTAATCAAACAATCTTTGTGCACGAAATACTTACAACTTCTGTATCTACACTTTATCTTTTTATCATAAATAGAAGCTCGTTTATTGCAGTAATTGCAATTTTTCATATATTAAAGAATTTATTTTTAAGGTTATTTTGAAATTTTCTCGCAAAGAGATTAAAATGTCATTTAGTTTTTTGCTAAATTCGAGATTTATAAAGACTTATTTTTTTTAATCATTGATTTAATTAATAATTAGAGATTTTCTCTTCATTTTATTTTTTTTTAATATTGAGTTATCTAATATAAATTTTTCATTCTTAATGTGCTTAAATGTGTCTTAAACGTGTCTTTTTAATCCTGCATGTATCATCATAATATTATTATAAATTTGTTTCTTATATTTTCTTACTTACTCTTTTCTGTTAAATGACCAATTTACTTTTTAATTCACTCTGTTCTTTTGTTTAATTAATTATTTTTCAGCTTCACTTCACGTGACTAATATTTTGTTATAATCCAAATAGGGCAATCAACTTTTAATTTTCATTACTTGCTATAAAATTTGTTTAATTTTGAATCTCTACAATTATCAACGTAATTTCAAAGCTACAATTATCGTTATTTGTTCTGATTTAATTCCTTTCATTTTTGTGATTAATTAATAAATTGAATATTAAAATTAAATAGAATGTTTAATTTTAAACACTTATTACGCACTAAGAACTTGAATTTGACTTGTTTTGCACTTAATCTGAATTAAGAACTAGATTTTGACTTATTCCACACTTATTACGCACTAAGAACTTGAATTTGACTTGTTCTGCACTTAATCTGAATTAAGAACTAGATTTTGACTTATTCCACACTTATTCCGCACTAAGAACTTGAATTTGACTTGTTTTGCACTTAATCTGAATTAAGAACTAGATTTTGACTTATTCCACACTTATTACGGACTAAGAACTTGAATTTGACTTATTCTGCACTTAATCTGAATCAAGAACTTGATTTTGACTTATTCCACACTTATTACGCACTAAGAACTTGAATTTGACTTGTTCTGCACTTAATCTGAATTAAGAACTTGATTTTGACTTATTCCACACTTATTCCACACTAAGAACTTGAATTTGACTTATTCTGCACTTAATCTGAATTAAGAACTAGATTTTGACTTATTCCACACTTATTACGCACTAAGAACTTGAATTTGACTTATTCTGCACTTAATCTGAATTAAGAACTAGATTTTGACTTATTCCACACTAATTACGCACTAAGAACTTGAATTTGACTTGTTTTGCACTTAATCTGAATTAAGAACTAGATTTTGACTTATTCCACACTTATTACGCACTAAGAACTTGAATTTGACTTGTTCTGCACTTAATCTGAATTAAGAACTAGATTTTGACTTATTCCACACTTATTACGCACTAAGAACTTGAATTTGACTTGTTCTGCACTTAATCTGAATTAAGAACTAGATTTTGACTTATTCCACACTTATTCCGCACTAAGAACTTGAATTTGACTTGTTTTGCACTTAATCTGATTTAAGAACTAGATTTTGACTTATTCCACACTTATTACGCACTAAGAACTTGAATTTGACTTATTCTGCACTTAATCTGAATTAAGAACTTGATTTTGACTTATTCCACACTTATTACGCACTAAGAACTTGAATTTGACTTGTTCTGCACTTAATCTGAATTAAGAACTTGATTTTGACTTATTCCACACTTATTCCACACTAAGAACTTGAATTTGACTTATTCTGCACTTAATCTGAATTAAGAACTAGATTTTGACTTATTCCACACTTATTACGCACTAAGAACTTGAATTTGACTTATTCTGCACTTAATCTGAATTAAGAACTAGATTTTGACTTATTCCACACTAATTACGCACTAAGAACTTGAATTTGACTTGTTTTGCACTTAATCTGAATTAAGAACTAGATTTTGACTTATTCCACACTTATTACGCACTAAGAACTTGAATTTGACTTGTTTTGCACTTAATCTGAATTAAGAACTAGATTTTGACTTATTCCACACTTATTACGCACTAAGAACTTGAATTTGACTTATTCTGCACTTAATCTGAATTAAGAACTAGATTTTGACTTATTCCACACTAATTACGCACTAAGAACTTGAATTTGACTTATTCTGCACTTAATCTGAATTAAAAACTAGATCTTGACTTATTCCACACTTATTCCGCACTAAGAACTTGAATTTGACTTGTTCTGCACTTAATCTGAATTAAGAACTAGATTTTGACTTATTCCACACTTATTACGCACTAAGAACTTGAATTTGACTTGTTTTGCACTTAATCTGAATTAAGAACTAGATTTTGACTTATTCCACACTTATTACGCACTAAGAACTTGAATTTGACTTGTTTTGCACTTAGTCTGAATTAAGAACTTGATTTTGACTTATTTCACACTTATTACGCACTTAGAACTTGAATTTGACTTGTTCTGCACTTAATCTGAATTAAGAACTAGATTTTGACTTATTCCACACTTATTACGCACTAAGAACTTGAATTTGACTTATTCTGCACTTAATCTGAATTAAGAACTAGATTTTGACTTATTCCACACTTATTACGCACTAAGAACTTGAATTTGACTTATTCTGCACTTAATCTGAATTAAGAACTAGATTTTGACTTATTCCACACTTATTACGCACTAAGAACTAGATTTTGACTTATTCCACACTTATTCCGCACTAAGAACTTGAATTTGACTTGTTTTGCACTTAATCTGAATTAAGAACTAGATTTTGACTTATTCCACACTTATTACGCACTAAGAACTTGAATTTGACTTATTCTGCGCTTAATCTGAATTAAGAACTAGATTTTGACTTATTCCACACTTATTACGCACTAAGAACTTGAATTTGACTTGTTCTGCACTTAATCTGAATTAAGAACTAGATTTTGACTTATTCCACACTTATTCCGCACTAAGAACTTGAATTTGACTTGTTTTGCACTTAATCTGAATTAAGAACTAGATTTTGACTTATTCCACACTTATTACGCACTAAGAACTTGAATTTGACTTATTCTGCACTTAATCTGAATTAAGAACTAGATTTTGACTTATTCCACACTTATTACGCACTAAGAACTTGAATTTGACTTATTCTGCACTTAATCTGAATTAAGAACTAGATTTTGACTTATTCCACACTAATTACGCACTAAGAACTTGAATTTGACTTGTTTTGCACTTAATCTGAATTAAGAACTAGATTTTGACTTATTCCACACTTATTCCGCACTAAGAACTTGAATTTGACTTGTTTTGCACTTAATCTGAATTAAGAACTAGATTTTGACTTATTCCACACTTATTACGCACTAAGAACTTGAATTTGACTTGTTCTGCACTTAATCTGAATTAATAACTAGATTTTGACTTATTCTACACTTATTACGCGTTAAGAACTTGAATTTGACTTGTTCTGCACTTAATCTGAATTAAGAACTAGATTTTGACTTATTCCACACTTATTACGCACTAAGAACTTGAATTTGACTTGTTTTGCACTTAATCTGAATTAAGAACTAGATTTTGACTTATTCCACACTTATTACGCACTAAGAACTTGAATTTGACTTGTTCTGCACTTTATCTGAATTAAGAACTAGATTTTGACTTATTCCACACTTATTACGCACTAAGAACTTGAATTTGACTTGTTCTGCACTTAATCTGAATTAAGAACTAGATTTTGACTTATTCCACACTTATTACGCACTAAGAACTTGAATTTGACTTGTTCTGCACTTAATCTGAATTAAGAACTAGATTTTGACTTATTCCACACTTATTCCGCACTAAGAACTTGAATTTGACTTGTTTTGCACTTAGTCTGAATTAAGAACTAGATTTTGACTTATTCCACACTTATTACGCACTAAGAACTTGAATTTGACTTGTTTTGCAGTTAATCTGAATTAAGAACTAGATTTTGACTTATTCCACACTTATTACGCACTAAGAACTTGAATTTGACTTATTCTGCGCTTAATCTGAATTAAGAACTAGATTTTGACTTATTCCACACTTATTACGCACTAAGAACTTGAATTTGACTTATTCTGCGCTTAATCTGAATTAAGAACTAGATTTTGACTTATTCCACACTTATTACGCACTAAGAACTTGAATTTGACTTGTTCTGCACTTAATCTGAATTAATAACTAGATTTTGACTTATTCTACACTTATTACGCGTTAAGAACTTGAATTTGACTTGTTCTGCACTTAATCTGAATTAAGAACTAGATTTTGACTTATTCCACACTTATTACGCACTAAGAACTTGAATTTGACTTGTTTTGCACTTAATCTGAATTAAGAACTAGATTTTGACTTATTCCACACTTATTACGCACTAAGAACTTGAATTTGACTTGTTCTGCACTTTATCTGAATTAAGAACTAGATTTTGACTTATTCCACACTTATTACGCACTAAGAACTTGAATTTGACTTGTTCTGCACTTAATCTGAATTAAGAACTAGATTTTGACTTATTCCACACTTATTACGCACTAAGAACTTGAATTTGACTTGTTCTGCACTTAATCTGAATTAAGAACTAGATTTTGACTTATTCCACACTTATTCCGCACTAAGAACTTGAATTTGACTTGTTTTGCACTTAGTCTGAATTAAGAACTAGATTTTGACTTATTCCACACTTATTACGCACTAAGAACTTGAATTTGACTTATTCTGCACTTAATCTGAATCAAGAACTTGATTTTGACTTATTCCACACTTATTACGCACTAAGAACTTGAATTTGACTTGTTCTGCACTTAATCTGAATTAAGAACTTGATTTTGACTTATTCCACACTTATTCCACACTAAGAACTTGAATTTGACTTATTCTGCACTTAATCTGAATTAAGAACTAGATTTTGACTTATTCCACACTTATTACGCACTAAGAACTTGAATTTGACTTGTTCTGCACTTAATCTGAATTAAGAACTAGATTTTGACTTATTCCACACTAATTACGCACTAAGAACTTGAATTTGACT